TGAAGAAAGAGGACTGCTTGAGTGCAAGAGTTTGAAGCTGTAGTGAGCTATGACTGCAGGACTGAACTCCAGCCTGGTTGAGAGAGAAGGATCTTGTCAAAAAAAAAAAAAAAAAAAAGCTAGCGTTCTCTAAACAGAAAGAAAATGATAATTAAAAACAGGAAACTTAGAACATCAAGAAGAAAGAAAGAAAACAGAATCATTAAAATATGGGAAAATATAATAGATTTTCTTTCTCCTCTTGAGCTTTCTAAGTATTTGACTATTGAGACAAAGATTATAACACTATCTGGTAGGGTTCTAAATGTGTGTACAGGAAATACTTAAGACAATTATATTCATATTTATATTATAAAGTAAAGAGATATGAAGGGGGGGAAGATTTTAACAATTCACTTGAACTGGTACTTCATTAACACCAATAGAGGTAGTAAGTTATGTAACTATAATACAGTACCTACAGCAACCATTAAAAATGCTAGAGAGTTGCACTCAAAAACACTATACATAAATCAAAATGGATTTTTATAAAATGATCGAGTAGTCCAAAGCAAGAAAAAGAGTAAAAAAAATGGAAAACAGAGCAAATATAAAATAAAATAGGAAACAAAAGCATAAACATATATCAATAATTACATTTAATGTAAATGGTCTAAATATATCTATTAAGAAAATGAGATTACAGAATGAAGTTTAAAAAAAGAGATGACCCAACTATATGCTATCTACAAGAAGCTCACTTCAAATATAATGAAATAGGTAGGCTGAAAGTAAAAGGATAAAAAAAAGTCATGAAAGTATTCAAAGAAAGCAGGGATGGCTATATTAAAAGAAAGTAAACTTCAAAGCAAAGGACAAGAGACAGAGAGAAACATAATTCACCAAAAAGAATTACATAAGCAATTCTAAGTGAACTGTATTAGCAATTCTAAGTGAGTATGCACCAAATAACAGACTTACAAAATATGTGAAGCAAAAACTGATAAAACTGAAAGGAGAATTAGATATATCCACAATTATAGTTGGGGACTTCAACACTCCTCTCTCAACAACTGATAAAACAATTGGATAGAAAATGACCAAAGATATAAGGGAACCCAATAACACCATCAAGCAACAGAAGCTAATTGACACTTTCAGAGCACCCCACCCAACACTAGCAGCATTCTCTTTAAGCAATGATAGAGCATACACCAAGACAGATCATATCCATAACACAAACTCAGGAAATTTGAAAGAATTAAATCATACAGAGTGTATCCTCTGATCATAATGAAATTAAAGTAGAAATCAGTAACAGAAAGATAATAGGAAAATAAACCAACAATTGGGAACTAAATTCCCTATAACATAATCCATAGCTCAAAGAGGAAGCCTAAGTGGAAATCAAAACATACACTAAACTGAATGAAAATAAAAATACAACATATCAAAATTTGTGGATGCAGCAAAAACAGTGCTAAGAGGGAAATTTATAGCACTAAAAGCTTACATTAAAAAGCAGAAAAAGTCTCAAATTAAAATCTAGGATTATACCTCAAGAGCATAGAAAAGGAAGGGGAAAATAAACCCAAAGAAAGCAGAGAGAGGGAATAATAAAGAGAAGAGCAGAAATCAGTGAAATTGGAAACAGAAAAACAAAATCAGTAAAAGATGGTTCTTTGAAAAAAACTCAACAAAATGCACAAATCTCAAGTAAGACTGACAAATTAAAAAGGAGAAAAAAACACAAATTAATATTAGGAAAGAAAGAGGGGATATTACTAACAGATCCCGCAGATATCAAAGGAATAATGAGTAAATACCACATAAATTAGACAACTTAGATAAAATGACCACATTCCTCAAAAAGTACATATTACCCCAACTCACACAATTTGAAACAGATCATTTAAATAGTACTTTAATTATTGAGGAAACTGAATTTATAATTTTTTAAATTACAGAAAAAGAAAACTCCAGGGCCAGCCAGATTGTTTTACCACACTATTCTAACAAACTAAATTTAAAGAAGAATTAACACCAATTATACATACACTTTCTCCAAAAATAGAAGAGGCAGGAACACTTTCCAATTTATTTTAGGAAGCCAATATTATCCTGCTATCAAAACCAACCAAAGATTGCACAAGAGAGAGAGACAGGGAGACAGAGACAAACAGAGAAAGAGACAGAAACTACAGACTGATATCCTTCATGAATATAAATGCAACAATCAACAAAATATTAGCAAATGGGTTTCAGCACTGTATCAATACAGAAGTCTACACCATAAGCTAGCAATGTTTATCCCAGGGATGAAAGACTGATTTAACATTCAAAAATAAATCAATATATTCATAACCTACCATATTAACAAGCTAAAGGGAAAAAAATCATATGATTCATCAGTTGATGCAGAAAAATTACTTAACAAAATTCAACATCCATTCATGATACAAATTCTCAGAAAACTGGGAATGCAGGGAAACTCCTCAAACTGACTTTTTAAAAACTTGAAGAAAAAAAAAACCCTGCAACTAACATTATACTTAATAATGAAAGACTGAATGCTG